AATTTATATTCAGAGTAAAATTCCGAAATTTCTTTAATGTAATTGTAGCGCTGGTGTCGAAGTTACAGTTTGCAGATCTTTCCATCGCGGCGTTCCAGTTTGTTAGTGAAGGCGAGTAAACGAACAGTTAGACATTAAGACAGGCATCTATGTATACAGATTGTTTGCATAAGGGGTACAAAACAAAGTGTTTGCTTTTACAAAAGGTTGATCTTGATCTTGCCATGGCTTAGAAATTGAAAATGATATAACCAATATGTCACCAAAAAAAACCCATAGAGACCCTTATCGTGACAGACATTGACCAAAACCTTTTCAAATAGACCAATTCCAGAGAAATAAGATAGTAAGTTGATAAATTAATACATATTACGATTTTTTTACCTCAAGCTCATTTACATGTTTCCTCACCTCATGACCTTGACCTTGACCTGACATGTTTCATAAGAATTTTGAAATATATCCATAACAGAATGTCCTCTGGTACATATTATCGTTGCACACTGAATGAAAACGCCTTTAACAATACCCTTAACGGTGACCTTGACGGGACATGTCACCAACAGTGGATGTTTGTAGGACCTTTATACACAAATGCAAGCCATCTTATAAATAGAAATTGGTATTACATTCTTGAATGACATTCTATTGTTCTAATAATGTCACGCTTGCATCCCAAGTACCAAGTTGTCCTTCTGCCCATTGTTCTCGGTGCCATAGGTTTGAAGCCTCCCAATCTGTTGACTGTCATTGGGAGAGAACTCGGGTTTGCTACCAGGAATACAGCCCCTTTGACAATCTGGGTAATGCAGAAGGCTACAGTGTTGGGGAGTCTTCACATTCTCCGAAAAGAAGGCATTTTTATTTTATTCTGTACATACTACTACTACTACTACTACTACTACTACTACTACTACTACTATTAATAATAATAATAATAAACCCGGCGGCGGCAGTGATTAAATTCCGAAAAATGTTTCAGCTTAAAGAAGTCCCGTTGCAAATTAAAATGTGACTTATCTTAATATTATCTTAACCGTCGGACCATTTTAGCTTGTATCCAGTTATTCAGTCCTACCCGTCGTATACGCTTAGGGCTACCAGAGAGAGCCATAACCTTTAGTCGATAATTATAAGAAAATACTAACCAAAACGCACCGTCTTATCTTATATTCCTTTACTGAGTCTAGACTGACTTCATCTTTTCTTTACCTTAATGAAAAATGCATATGTTAATAGTGAACCGCAAAAGAGGTGAGGGGAAATTGGGTTTAACGTCGCGTCCCCTTAATGCCGAGCGCCAGACAGGGTAACAACAAGTACCATCTTTTAACGTCTTTTAGAATGACGCGGTCGGGGATCGAAAACCCCGGACCTTCCTCTCTCCGGGCGGAGGTTCTACCACAAGACCACGGAGGCGGTCGAACCGCAAAAGAAACGTCAATTAATGGAAATACTTCATGATAGTTTCCCATTGAAATATCAAAGCATTTTTGGGAGGTATTGCGTTTCTGAAATTAGTCTTTATCCAAATTTAATCTTAACGGCCAAAAAGGGCCACACATATGGACATAATTGGTCGCCCAAACGCAGATTAACAAACGACCATGGTACAAGGTCCCGAATGCTTTCGATGAAAATCAAAATGCACTTGCGTTTCCTTGTGCCTTTTCTGATAAACAGCACCCCAATACTTGGATCGCAACAATCTTTTATCGATGCTAGCGCCATGCCAAGACTTACGAAGAATCAGAGAAACCAGGCTTTCGGAAGACTGAAATATTTCATGTGGAAACCACTTTTGAATAATAGATAGATACTTGTAACAACGTGTTCATGGTAACTTGCAATACAACAAAACCAGAAATTATCTGTCAGTAGTTTAATTAGAGAGGGTTGCTTCTATAATCAGATGCCTAGAGGTTACTGAAACAGACTAATTTTGCCACAGACTGCTTCGGGATCTGTCCCAGAAGTAAGGAGACGGCGTGAACGACATAATTACCTTTGGAGGCGCTCTCACTTCGATCACCAAACAAACCATTATCAGAATTCGTTTATACCTAAGATCTCTTTCACAAACAAACTCTAGCAAACCATTAAACATTCCAGTAGAACTGCTAGTGTATACAGTCGGTTATGCCCCGTGGGAACCCCGGGTTAGAATAGATCACCGCAACCATTGTTGGCCGTAAGATGAATGGATCGGGTGCTCAGGCTCGTTGACATGGTTTATTACGTGTCATCGTACCTTAGCGACGTGGATCGTTGCTCATAACTTCAATCACTGGATTGCCTGTTCCAGATTCTATTATTTACAGCTGCCGTCACATAGTTGGAATAATGCCTATTGCGGCGTTAACCAAAAACAAACAAATGAAACAGGGGATCACTTTCCATGGTCTTAGGAAGTGATGCTGTACATTTTTGGTAATTTCCAAAGGATGTTTAGGCATTTCCGACAGAGATGCCACAAATCTAATCTGCCTCATGCCAGTGTTCGTGGCGACCACTAACGCCCAAATGACGCACCGTGGCGAGGCAGGATCACTTATCTAAATTAAATCGTTTTCGTTCTCAAACAAGGAGGCGGCAATATAATACACAACCTTGATATACTAACGGCAACTATCGAGTCACCTTAGCCCCTCTTGTATATTAATATGTCAGTAATCTCTATGTTGAATTATTTATTTCATTCCAACCCAGTGTACTGTCTCTAATCGCATCGATTTGGTGGTCGAGGTGCAAATACAAATGATTGGCAAACTAATTTCAATTTATATACGCAGTTGCACAGTTAAAAGGTCAATGATTGCTTTAAGATTTAAATTCCAAAACATCTTGCGTCCTGGGATCACCGGCTCCAAACTATTCTTGTTTTCGTAGAAGTTTGTGTAAGACCGCGTGAAGAGTATTTAAGTTATTTCACGGGGTATGAACTTAATACAGTGGGAACACCCAAAAGGACCGCGAGAACATTATTTAAGTTATTTCACGGCGAATGAACTTAATGTCGAGGGGAACGCCCAAACTGACGCTGGTCTAAGATGTTTACCACTTTAGTGACAGATGCCTTGAACTCATAGAGGATGCTGACATACCAGGACCACGATCCACAAAGCGTTCTGACGCTTCATCAGTCCATGGTATGGGTGTTAAAACAGTTGTAGTGACAGGGACGTTTTGTAGAACGGGGCCAATATATCGTGGCGAAGTCAGATACACGAACAGTGGATCCTGACAAGACAAAGGCGAGCAAAGGACCAATAGACCCCTACCCTCCACTCCACCCTACCCTCACTACAAAGCATCTGAAAATGGGTCAGTACTATTTGCTTCTTATTGTGGATGAAGAGTCTAATCCTGTGTGAAGATCATCTTCACCATGGACATTTAACGTGCGATCCTACTGGATTGTCTTTCTGGAATGTTGACGCTATCATGCATGTGGCTGCTCCTCAATTGATTCCTTCTATAGAAGTCACATTTGCAAGTACAAACAGTCTGAAAGGTGGACAGATAACCTTTTCAGGACATTCTCGTGACAATACAAGCGTAGCTGCATGTGTCAACAGTGATCAATATTCTGTTAAAGATAATAATTACAAATTTGTAATTCTATTCTATCAGTTACCGATAGACGGAAATCTGAAAATCAGCTGCTTCCTCTGAAGCTTTATCAGTGCTTTAAATAACGGTGACTGATAACATACATTAAGACGAACCTGTATCCGGTATCTCAGAAATGGGTTTGAAAATTACGTTTTTGTGTTGTTTAATGAGTCTTTGAAACTCAGTGTTGTCATAGATACACCACCGATTGATTATGTGGCATTTTTTTCAGGTCAAAACTTTGTAATTGTCAGCAACGATCCCCATTTTCTCGGTATTGATCACTATGATCGAACTGTGATGCAGGTCGACTTTATAAAAACGACTCCACATGCCCAATAATACTTAGCAGGTGTTTGTTATATACCCGCCCGTAATAAGCTGGCCTTTATGTGCCATATATCGACTGGTAAATGATACCACTGATGGCGCTAAATCAGCATCTTATAACGTGGAATAGCCACTCCGGCCAATGTAATCATACGATAGCATCAATATGATCACAGACATATATCGCCCACGCTAGGCCCTCGAAACAGACTACGGCCGTTATTAACAACGAAATTGTTTAAAAACAGCATCTTGTTTACCTTCTCTTATGAGAGGACAAATCGAAGTAACTTTAGCTGTAACGCTGAATTCAGCGTCTATAGTCTGCGATAAAGGGGTTGAAGCAAATGTTGATCATAAGGAGAGTCGGTGAGAAAGCGAATATTGCCAGGGGAGAGATGATGGTCTGAGACGTCAGTTGGCGAGGATAATAATTTCCAGAGAGAAGAAGGGACTGAATTTATAACTAAAGTTCTTCACGGCATTATCAGTTTTAGAGTGAGTGAATATGTTTTTTTACGAAGGGATTCTGGTCAGCAACATCATGAAGACGGACATGAACTTTTGTCGGGTTATTTACCCGTGTCTTTGTCATGTGAACACGTTAAAACCACAAGGCTACCAAACAATCCCTCATTTCATGAAGTTGAGTGTGACGATGTTTTGGAATTTCCAAATACACACATGTTCTACCTGTAAAGGGACTTGAAGGTTAACGCTGTAATCTGACACACCAATAACAATATTTCATGTTTGTCTGTATCCGGTAACGATCTTGTAAACCACGCTTGTACGTTGGATGTGGCAAACCACGCCACCTTATTTGATCTTGCAAACCACGCCTCCATGCTGGATCTTGCAAACCATGCCTCCCTGTTTTGATCTTGTCAATCGCGCCACCATGTTGGATCTTGCAAACCACGCCCCCATGTTGGATCTGGCAAACCACGCCTCCGTGTGCGACCTTGCAAACCATGCCTTCATATCGGCCCTTGCAAACCACGCCTTCATGTTGGATCTTGCAAACCACGCCTCCATGCTGGATCTTGCAAACCATGCCTCCCTGTTTTGATCTTGTCAATCGCGCCACCATGTTGGATCTTGCAAACCACGCCCCCATGTTGGATCTGGCAAACCACGCCTCCGTGTGCGACCTTGCAAACCATGCCTTCATATCGGCCCTTGCAAACCACGCCTTCATGTTGGATCTTGCAATCTACGCCTTCATGTTGGATCTTGCAAAGCCCGCCTCCATGTTGGATCTTGCAAACCACGCCACCATGTTGGATCATACAAACAACGCCACCATGTTGGATCATACAAACCACGCCTTCATATCGGCCCTTGCAAACCACGCCACTATGTTGGATCATGCAAACCACGGCATCATGTTGGATCTTGCAAACCACGCCACCATGTTGGATCTGACAAACCACGGCATCATGTTGGATCTGGCAAACCACGCCACCATGTTGGATCATGCAAACCACGCCACCAAGTTGGATCTGACAAACCACGCCATCATGTTGGATCTGGCAAACCACGCCACCATGTTGGATCTGACAAACCACGCCACCATGTTGGATCATGCAAACCACGCCACCAAGTTGGATCATGCAAACCACGCCACTTTGTTGGATCTTGCAAACCACGCCACCATGTTGGATCATGCAAACCACGCCACTTTGTTGGATCTTGCAAACCACGCCTCTATGTCGGACCTTGCAAACCATGCCTCCATGTCGGACCTTGCAAACCACGCCTTCATGTCCGGCCTTGCAAGCCTCGCCTTCATGTCGGCCCTTGCAAACCACGCCTCCATGTCGGACCTTGCAAACCACGCCTCCATGTCGGACCTTGCAAACCACGCCTCCATGTTGGACCTTGCAAACCACGCCTTCATGTCGGACTCTGCAAACCACGCCCCATGTTGAATCTGTCAAATCACGCTCCCATGATGGATCTTGTAAATCACGCCACCATGATGGATCTTGCAAACCACGCCACCATATTGGATCCGGCAAACCACGCCACCATGTTAGATCTTACAAACACGCCACCATATTGGATCCGGCAAACCACGCCACCATGTTGGATCTTGCAAACGACACCACCATGTTGGATCCGGCAAACCACGCCGCCATGTTGGATCTTGCAAACCACGGCATCATGTTGGATCTGGCAAACCACGCCACCATGTTGGATCATGCAAACCATGCGACCATGTTGGATCTGGCAAACCACGCATCAATGTTGGATCTGGCCAACCACGCCACCATGTTAGATCTAACAAACCACGCAACCATATTGAACCCGGCAAACCACGCCACCATGTTAGATCATGCAAACCACGCCACCATGTTAGATCTGCCAAACCACGCCACCATGTTGGATCTGGCAAACCACACCACCATGTTGGATCTTGCATGCCACGCCACTTTGTTGGATCATGCAAACAACGCTACCATGTTGGATCATGCAAACCACGCCACCATGTTACATCTGCCAAACCACGCCTCAATGTTGGATCTGGCAAACCACGCCACCATGATGGATCTTGCATGCCACGCCACTATGTTGGATCATGCAAACCACGCCACCAAGTTGGATCATGCAAACCACGCCACCATGTTGGATCTGGCAAACCACGCCACCATGTCGGATCTTGCAAACCACGCCACCTTGTTGGATCATGCAAACCACGCCACCATGTTGGATCTTGCATGCCACGCCACCATGTTGGATCTTGCATGCCACGCCACCTTGTTGGATCATGCCAACCACGCCACCAAGTTGGATCATGCAAACCACGCCACCATGTTTGATCTGGCAAACCATGCCACTATGCTGGATCTGGCAAACCACGCCACCATGTTGGATCTGGCAAACCACCCCACCAAGTTGGATCTGGCAAACCACACCACCATGTTGGATCTGGCCAACCACACCACCATGTTGGATCTGGCCAACCACGCCACCTTGTTTGATCTTGCAAACCACGCCACCTTTTTGGATCTTGCAAACCACGCCACCATGTTGGATCTGGCAAACCACGCCACCATGTTGAATCTGGCAAACCACGCCACTATATTGGATCTTGCAAACCACGCCACCTTGTTGGATCTTGCAAACCACACCACCATGTTGGATCTAGCAACCACGCCACCATGTTGGATCTGGCAAACCACGCCACTATGTTTGATCTTGCAAACCACGCCACCATGTTGGATCTTGCATGCCACGCCACCTTGTTGGATCATGCCAACCACGCCACCAAGTTGGATCATGCAAACCACGCCACCATGTTTGATCTGGCAAACCACGCCACCATGTTGGATCTGGCAAACCAAGCCTTAATGTTGAATCTAGCAGCACGCAACCTTGTTGGATCTGGCAAACCATGCCACTTTGCTGGATCTGGCAAACCACGCCACCATGTTGGATCTGGCAAACCACCCCACCATGTTTGATCTGGCAAACCACACCACCATGTTGGATCTGGCCAACCACACCACCATGTTGGATCTGGCCAACCACGCCACTATGTTGGATCTTGCAAACCACGCCACCTTTTTGGATCTTCCAAACCACGCCACCATGTTGGATCTAGCAACCACGCCACCATGTTGGATCTGGCAAACCACGCCACCATGTTGGATCTAGCAACCACGCCACCATGTTGGATCTGGCAAACCACGCCACCATGTTGAATCTGGCAAACCACGCCACTATGTTGAATCTGGCAAACCACGCCACCTTGTTGGATCTTGCAAACCACGCCACCTTGTTGGATCTTGCAAACCACGCCACCATGTTTGATCTGGCAAACCACGCCACCATGTTGGATCTGGCAAACCACGCCACCATGTTGAATCTTGCAAACCACGCCACTATGTTGGATCTTGCAAACCACGCCACCTTGTTGGATCTTGCAAACCACACCACCATGTTGGATCTTGCAAACCACGCCACCATGTTGGATCTGGCAAACCACGCCACCATGTTGAATCTGGCAAACCACGCCACCATGTTGGATCTTGCAAACCACGCCACCTTGTTGGATCTTGCAAACCACGCCACCATGTTGGATCTAGCAAACCACGCCACCATGTTGGATCTGGCAAACCACGCCACCATGTTGGATCTGGCAAACCACGCCTCAATGTTGAATCTAGCAGCACGCCACCTTGTTGGATCTGGCAAACCATGCCACTATTTTGGATCTGGCAAACCACGCCAACATGTTAGATCTGGCAAACCACGCCTCAATGTTGAATCTAGCACCACGCCACCATGTTGGATCTGGCAAGCCTCGTCAACATGTAAAATCTAGCACCACGCATCCATGTTGGATCTTGTAAACCAGGCAAATGTTCTCCAATAGTTTGCCGAAGGAAAGGTCAATTGGTCAAGTGTAAGACCTGGGACTGTACCGTAATCACATTGTTTGCAGCTAGGACGTCAAATAACTAGTATTCTTATGCATAAAGATAGATAGGTAGATATTTCACGTCTAGGCAGTACACCAAATGTCACTTACAGTCTAAACGGCAAACACATGGAGGGGTCAAATAGTTTCTATTTAAGGAGTTGTTATATATGGTAAAGCTATATTGTGCACGTTTATAAACGTTTAAAAACGAATGCATACTTGGTGAGGGAAAGATACGATGCTCACTGGTTGCCCTCTATTCATTTCTGTACTAAAGCGTACTTTCGCTGGATGGGTGAGTGAGTGCATGTTGTCTTACGCTACAGTCACTAATATTGTAACAATAATTATCATGGCGGACTGTACACAATGTCACAAGACTGGGACCCGTTCCATCAAGCGATCGTTCAACTACAACTGTCGTAAGTCTATATAAAAGTATGGGAGTTACGATCACCTTATCGCTAAGATTGCTATGTGGAACGGTGCCTTGGACCAGGCACACCAATGCAAGGGCAACGACCATCTCCGTAGGAATACACCCCTGACGACCATGCATAACACATCATCAGTGATCTTATCTTCAATTGAGTTTCATGGAGTACTGGAAAGGAACATCACAAAATGCAAGCGTCATTTTGCAACTGGAGCTCAGAACATGATTCAAAGTATGGTAGCGACTTCTACAAACATCGGTGTCAGCTGGTAGGATACCGATAACGCGCCCATATGCCGTGTACAGTCTGGCGCCCACATCACACTGATAGATGACGTTAACAACGACACCTACCTGACAATCTTGAAACGTTTTTCTCAACTATCGGAAGTACCGTCCTTCGTGGTGCGTTCTGGGAAGTCTCTCGGAAGATCAGATCTCTGTTCCCAGTGAATCGTGTAAATCGACTTGACAATCTGATATCTCAAATAATGAATATTTACCTAGATGCACCGACCTGTCAAATCTACGGCTGAAAAGGCACAAGTTAATCTTGTAAGATAGGAATTAACGATCTGACCGTGTTCCGGAGCCGAACGAGTTCTTCAGCGTCAAATCCTATCTAGCGGAGGCAGTCGGTTATTTTAGCAGCACTTGAATACAATTGATATTTACCTAGGTTCTTCCAAGTGTCACTTCTCCTTTCTCGTAAATCATAGACGGCATCAGAGTGAAGGAAGAAAGGAATGATAACGATCGGATACAACAGGGAAACTCGAAGGGTCCCTGTATCGGTCTAACGGGACAGTCGAGGCGTATGAACGAGGATAGGAACACTTACATCGTTTGCCAACACTTTCCACTGGCCGCGGAGTGTTTGATTGTTGGTGTTAAGAGTCTCTGAATAATTTTGTCCGTTCAATCAATGCTGGTAGCACAATTGTCAGGCATCCCATTCTGTAGTTGAGATTCGCTCACGTTTCCCAATAACTGGCTTTGCCGGTTTGTTTTAACAGATTCGTCGCTCAATAGTGTTCTAATAGGCCGCACCGCCCGCATTACCCTCTACGGAATGGGGGTCTCGATCTGGTATGGACCCCGGACTTTTACACAAAGATTCGATACTCTTTATTCAAGTCCTAAGCCATAACGATTAACTAACCACACTTACTTTTTATCTGTTTCCCTTCGGAGAGACTACAATCTTCTGTTTATTCAAACTGATAGATTGTTGATGGTGAATCGAAAAGATCAAATAAGATCAGAATTCGAAAATCAATTCAATTTCATAAAATCGGTTTCTTAAAAATGTTTTATTACAAAAACGTATTTTTGGTACCAAAATTTCCCTGAGGTAAATACACGGTTATTTCTCAGGAAAATAGCCCCGCGCCAAGTGTTTTCGAATTCAAGTCAACTTTCTACACGATTGTTTCAAACGTGATTGATTCGTCTTTTGTTTTTCTCCTTTGCATTTCAGATCAATCGATTATCTGAGATGCACAGTCTTAGCGTTCTACTCCATCTCCGGCTTCACGTTGGGGGAGGGGCTGAACAGCGGGGGTAGGGGAAGGAGCAGTGGAGGAGAACAGGGGGCAAAGGGAGCGTGGAGAACTTTAGGCAGCGGCGAAGGATGGACGAAAGGGGAATAGTTAGGGAACGGGTTACTGTGGAAGGGGTGGGGAGCAGGGGCAATGGGTGTGGATGGCGAGCAGAGGACAGGGGAAGTGGATGAGGAGCAGAGTGCAGAGGGAGCGGGTTGAGAGCAGAGGGCAGGGAAGTGGATGGAGAGCAGATGAGAGGGGAAGTGGATAGAGAATAGAGGACAGAAAAGTGGATAGAGAGCAGATGAGAGGGAAGTGGAGAGAGAGTAGATGAGATGAGAAGTTGACAGCGAGCGGATGACTGGAAGTGGATAGAGTGCAGATGGGAGGGGAAGTGGATCGAGAGCAGAGGACAGGGGTAGTGGATGGAGAACAGATGACAGGGGAAGTGGATGGGGAGCAGATGAGAGGGGAAGTGGACAGAGAGCAGATAAGAGGGGAAGCCGACTGAGAGCAGATGACAGTGGAAGTGGATAGAGAGCAGATGGGAGGGGAAGTGGATAGAGAGCAGATGAGAGGGGAAGTGGATAGAGAGCAGATGACAGTGGAAGTGGATAGAGAGCAGATGGGAGGGGAAGTGGATAGAGAGCAGATGAGAGGGGAAGTGGACAGAGAGCAGATAAGAGGGGAAGTGGACTGAGAGCAGATGAGAGGGGAAGTGGATAGAGAGCAGATGGGAGGGGAAGTGGACAGAGAGCAGATGAGAGGGGAAGTGGACAGAGAGCAGATGAGAGGGGAAGTGGACAGAGAGCAGAGTGTAGGTGAGGTGGATAGAGGACAGAGTGGAGAGCATTGTTCCTGATGGCCCATTCTGGCTCTCTCTCTCGATGGTTTACTACTTTAGTGAAACCCACGAGCATGGGCATGGTGCTGGCAAACCTAGAAACATATCCGGGAGAATCTGAAAGATGAATTAATCATGATCAATTACCGGTGACAGTTTGACTTACATTGTACATAACAATACTCCACATGCCTACACAAGCAGCATGGTGGGACCGCAACGGCACAAGAAGATCATAGAATTGATTAAAGTACACTCCTAGATACTAAAGAAAAATCCAATCAACAGTTTTACCACACTGGAGAGAAATGATAAGAAGAATTCTTAAAACGCATCGAAGTTTTTATTACGTTACACAAATATACGTGAAGAAAACTCTCTTTTTCAGAAAGATAAAGTTTCATAAGTTCATTTCTTTTTGCACCAACGCAACACGATGTACCTATGAAACATACCGGCACACTATATATATGTGCAATCGCACAGAAAACTCAAAATTAAATCAATAAGTTATCAGTTGATTAAATAACATTTCCTACACGAGAAAGCATTAAGCCAGTATCGAGGGCAGGGTCCGTTGTACAGTGCGAGGGGTACTGTCAATCGCAGAGAAGGGTATCTGATCTATTTCGTCTCCAGGTTTTGAATGAGTTGGGTTTGACGCTTCTTTCAGCTACATGTTTATCAGTTTTTCGTCAGCTTAATGTGGGATGTGAGACACAGCGTGGAAGCTTGATGGGGAGGAAACCCCGAAATGATGCGGGTCTTAGACGTGTATCACTCTTTTTTAAATCCACGTGCACAGGTACAGGCCTAAGGGGAGAGAACTCTCTACATGGAGGACAGGGCCACCTTATCCCTCTACTGAGAGATCCACACGCTAACAGATCCCATTATGACAAATAGTGAGTTGGTGAGTGAGTATGTGAGTAGGTTGTTTACACCATAGTTAGCAATATCCCCAGAGAATCTGAAGAAAGGGTCTTCAGTACCCCAGGCTGAAGCAAGAGCAGACATTTGAGGATTGAGGAACTATGAAAGAAGTATGTGACGTGGATGCTGACAACAACCACTTGTTCCCTGATGGTTTAACATTCGCACCTCACATGGACGACACGGGTTTTTTGTGGCCTATTCCCGGTGTCGTCCGCCATGACATTGCCCAAAAGGGTTAGAGAAGGTGTAAAACAATACTCACTCACTGAACGTCGATCCCATCCGCGACCTCTCCCCATCTTATTATAATGATATTCCTCTCAGCAAAGCAAATTCCCCGAACACGCATGGGAAGTGGATGGAGATTAGTGAGTGAGTGTGGTTTTACGCCGCTTTTAGCAATATTCCAGCGATATCACGGCGGGGGACACCAGAAATGGGCTTCACACATTGTACCCATGTTGGGAATGGAACTCGGGTCTTCGGCGAGACGAGCGCTCGCTTTAACCACTAAACGTCCCGACCGCCCCTGGATGGAGATTAGAGGATAGAGGAAGTGGATAGTGGTGTTTCTCGCTGACGGTCTTTCTGAAATTTGATATTGACTGCTACTTAAAAGTTAAGAAAGGTGAAAGAGGCAATAAAGACAAAACCTTTCCTGTTTCCTGTGAAATCTTGAAAGAATTCACAGTTATATATAGAAACCTATGGAAGGCAGAACTGAAGGTTTCGTCTCGATACACAGTGCTTAACGGGCAGCGACCATTGGTTCCTGATTAGATTCGTGTCGCCTGAGCTGACACTGCTAGCTTTGATTTCAAAACATATGTGACCCAGGTGACCAATATTGTTGACCAAGGTAAAACCCATGTTAGCCTTGGTTGACCAATGTTAACACATGTTAACTGATTTACACTAAAGGAACGCCACGATGCAGGGACCTATTGAGCCCCTGGGGTGCGGTACTCTGGTTAGCTGCTTCCAAAAGACCTAACTGTTAAAGCTTGTTAGTTTCATGGACAGTCTCCGTGGTCTAGTGGTAGAGCGTCCACCTTGAAAGCGGAAGGTCCAGGGTTCGACTCCCGGCCGCGTCATACCAATAGACGTTAAAAGATGGTACTTGTTGTTACCCTGTCTTGCGCTCGGCATTAAGGGGCTAAAACAAGTACTGGTCGGCTCGGAGTATTCCTGTTAAACTGCGGCATGGTATCTCAGTGAGTTAGCACTATAAATCGCACTATATAGTACAAGCCACACAAACACACACACGTACATGCACGTCGCTATATAAATGAAATAATCTTGAACGCGACGTTAAACCCCATTTCACCTGACCTCGTTAGTTTCATGTATTGATTCAGGGATGAATTAAAGCATTTTAATGAATATGATTAACTAGGTATTGATAGCATATACGTTTTCTGACTTGCTTTAGGGAAAATTAACTTTCGGTTGTTGATATACATGATTAAGAATCAATAATGTAACTTTGATGATATTTTTGTACCTCTGTATGATGTTCTAGGCGTTATGTTGTACGTCCTTGTCGTTTTACATTCATTAAACAGAAAAAGGTACAATTATTTTTATAATATTATGCATTTACATACCGCAGGTATCCAGGTACTGGTATCTGTTATCATTCTCAGCTCCCTTGGGAGTATACAATCCAAGCTGCCTATGGGCGATAGAAGGTTTTTACATCCATCTCACATATCGGGTACCCATTCCCTGCTGGGTGAACAAAGGCATATTTGAGTTAATGGCAGCTTTGTCAAACAATGCAGTACTTGTTCATCTCTCACATTTGTGAGTGAGTGAGTGAGTTGGGTTTAACGCCACTTTAAACAGTATTCCTGTTATATCACGGCGTGTCAGCTTAAGGTGGGAGGAAAGCCCGAAGGGATGCAGGTCTCAGACGTTTACCACTGCGGTGAAACCCACGAGCACGGGTATGGTGCTGACAAACCTAGAAACCGGGATTCGAACCCACAATCATAGGTTTCTAGCGTGCCCAAGGGACGCAACTCTGCACTGCGAATCGCGGCGCCCCCTCACAGTTGTGTTATAGCAATATATATGACTGTTGTGTTTCTTCTTCTCCTGACAGCCATTTTGTATTATATCTGAGGTTGCACTTATGCGTTTTATTTCGGTACAACCCAAAGTTATCCATGGTTAATACTGGTTAACTTAGGTTGAATCTAGTCAACCAGTTGCAAGTAATGCGGTAACTTTGGTTGACTCAGGTCTCTCAAAATATTGACCCGTGACGATCAGGGGTATCGGGAGGTCAGGGTCGCTAACTTGGTTGATGCATGTCGTATCCCAATGGCATGGATCGATGTTCATGATGCCAATCACTGGATTGTCTGATTATTTGCAGATCGCCGTCATATAGCTGAATATTGCTGAATGCGGTGGTAAACAAAAAACAAAAAACAAACAAACACTCAAATTATTATAATCGATCGCACGTACTGTCACAGATCAAGATGATGGATCAGCGAGAACGTTCTCAGGAGCACCATTCCTAGGGGTGGGGGGTGGGGTGAACTTTAAATGTGTATTTATCAATATCCATCCATCCATCTGCATGTATCTATCGTCAATTCTAAATTTCCAAATAGTTTAAAGAATAACACGTTCTGGAGAGTACATGTTGTCGAAATGATCTTCCAAATTATCTCCCTGTCCTATCCTAAGCAACATCGATAAAAGAGATAGCTATACGGCATCGTCTTTTTGTTGTATTAACAGAGCTCTCCGTCCAAGAAGAACTTGACCCTTACTCCTTGGAGATGTAATTCCACAGCGAAGTATTTCAATCATTAGATTGGATCAAACTTTTATCGGAATGACGTCGGAGGTAAAAAAAATTGCTTCAAATTACAATTAGAATATTTTCCCCATTACATTGTAAGATGTTGTTTTGGGGCATGAAAATATGGGGTATATGCCTGTTGGCACGAGCACTGCCCTTTCTTTTTCGAATATGCTTTGATAGTTGATTTGGACATCTGAATAAATATTGTATAAATCAGCTAAGTTCTTCATTTATTCCAATTCCTGCATCTCAAAGTGTACCTTTCGTATTATCTTTGATTATCTAGTTCGACTGCTGTTTAAACCTCATCGTTGGGAATTGATTCGGAGTTGTTCAAGTAGAAGAGGCAATAGCCAAAGTCGCAAGTGTCTCATTACAGTAACACTTCATATTTCGGCCTAATGGATTGTTGAGGTCGGAGCGTTGAGCAGAATTAATTGCCCGATATAGTCAACTTGACACACTCATGTATATATCTCCCGTTCAATATGGCTCCCGTTTATTTAAATCTAGGAAAATAGCGCAATGGTCTGAAGATCCGCGATAACAAGAATGGCTGCCAGACGACTTCCGGTTATCGACTTACACAACCAACCTCTAACTTGACAAACCCGTAAATTGTACTGATGTTTTATTCCAATCTCCGCTTCTGGTCTGACTACATGGTCATAATCTCCAGATTTATATGGAGCTCAAACTCTCTCCGATCATCAACTATTACGAAGCTGTGCATAGCGTTGTGGTCGATTGCCAAGGTGTCGATATCCCTCTTCGTTGTGATAAACGTCCGACTTCTGTGTCCTCTCGTATATTTCAAAATGTTTTTGTCTGCTTGAGGTTAACTGCAGTTGGTAATTCAGCTCGCAGTTGTGGAGGCAGCAATACATCTGTCTGGTTTCGGAACATGCCCGTTTTTTTCAGTGAATAAAGTGTCTACTAATTTGCGTTTACGGTGATAGGGAGCCGTGTCTTAGGAATGGTAGTGTTTTACGTACTTGTTTAAGTATTCCTACGAGAGCGTGCATACGATACACGCAAATACTATTATGTAGCCTAAATACCTTGTTAGATATGCCAACTGTCTTCAAAGAGAAGGGCGCTGTTTTACAAAGCGGAGCAATCGTAAGTCAGTGCTTTAATATGACTCTTACGAACACCATTGGGCAATAACGTGGTTAAACGAGGTCCAGCGCGCTAATGCGTAATACGATCATTGTACATATCGCTTCAGTGGAAGGCCACAAAT